TTACTTATCTGCTAATGTTAACTTGATCACTTTCCTGAAGTAATGTCTGTCATTTTCTCCACCGTAAGTTAACATTTTCCCCTTTACAGAGTCTCTTCATTAGAAGCAAGTCATTAAATCCAGTGTACACTCAACAGGAGAGAAGTCAATCACCATATCTTAGAGGGAGAAGTATCAAAGAATTTGAGGACATATGCTAAAAACCACCACAATAATTAATAAATAAGTATTCTGAAAGACATGCTTTGAGACTATGCAAATAGTCTATTTTACCTTAAAGTTTCCTCTAGTTATTTTAACACCGATTAGTAGATCTTGCCCATAGCAGTTTTTACTGTTCTGTTCTAATGGTGATTTAGGACAATATCTTTTATTTATTTTATATTCTGCCATCTTTGTCCAGTTTACAACTAAACACAAAGTAGATAATCAATAAATACTTGTATTTTAAAATAAATAAATACTTGTTAGGTGTAATTAAATTTCAAGGAACAGTTATGTGAAGTAAAATGAGAACAGAAGGTGGCTAAGTTCAAGGCAAATACATATTTTGGCAGTTGTGCTGTTCTTATGTCATATGTCTTCATTAACGGGGTGGGAATAGAAAGAAAAATAATTAATTACCTCACCCCTATTAAAACTAGAAGTTCCTGGAGAAAGGAGGACAATAGTTAATAGTTGTATAGTGCCTTAGAGTTCACAAAGTGTACTCACATTGATCATTTAGAATTTCAGAAGCTCTCTGAAGAGAAAGTCTTCAGAAAATGGAGATAAAAAAACATTTAAACTTCTGAAAGGCACTCTTAAATCAGGAATTGGAAAGTTAGGCATAGAAACTACATAAGGCTAACAAGGAAAAGCAAAAGTAAAAGCAAAGAAGAAACAGATATAATTTTTTTTAAAAATGGTGTGATCCCAGTGCAAGGCTTTAAACCAGGTGGTAAGGTTGATTTAATGTGGAGCATGAAACCAAGACAACTTAGACTACCAAAGATAAAGAGTACATGGTTAAAAAAATGAAGAATGTCATTAAACTAAGCATTAAGAACAGACTTCATAGGAACATGCATTAAAGGTGAAAAATGAATAGAATCTTCATGTTTGAATTCACTCTTTTCTTCGTTGGTCACCTCCACTTTCCCAGTGCCTTTAACAGTGCTCTTAACCTCTTATGTATCCAAAAATATTTGCTGAAGTTCTACTATGTGCCATACATAATGCTAGACATCTTGGGATACACAATAATTAGATATGATCCCTTGAATGTGCATTCTTTTTTTTTAATCCTTACCCAAGGATATGTTTTTACTGATTTTGAGAGAGAGAGGAGGGGAGGGGGAAGAGAGAGGGAGGGAGGGGGGAGGGAGGAAGGGAGAGAGAAACACTGATGTGAGAAACATCGATCAGTCACCTCCCACACAGGCCTGAACCGGGGATAGAACTAGCAACCTAGGAATATGCCTTGACCAAGAATCAAACCTGCCACCTTTTTTGTGGTGTACCAGACAATTTTCCAACTAATGGAGCCACTTGGAAAGGTAAAACAAAACAATACATGTTGAAAAGTTAAAAAGCAAAATAAGGCAGAGGGGGCCAAAAGAACAGCATAAAGAGTAAAAGCTACAACAGTCCAGAGAAAGAAGAGATCACTATAGAATGCCCAGTTCAGGAAAGGCTTTGTGAAAATAAGGGGCATTTGCAATAGGCCTTCAGGAATTGGGTAGGGGGTGAGTTGTGAACAAAGCCAAGAGAAAGGCATTCAAAGCAAAGATGTACCAGCTGAACAAAGGTATGGGGTTGGGACAGTGCTTTAAGAAGACAGTGAAATCAAGCAGGGTTGTAATAAAAAGAATATGAAAACACAAGGTACAAAAGGTAAACTGAGATTGAAATGTAAAAGGCTTTGAATGTCAAGTTGAGGAATTTAAACATTTCTGTAAGCAATACAAAAATAATCAGTTTTTGAGCAAAAAAGTGACATGATACACTGGAAACTAATATAATATTGTTATGTCAACTGTAATTAAAAAAACAAAAAATGTTTTTAAAAGAATGGGACGATGAATGTGATATTTTAGAAATATTAAGCTGGCTTTTGATGTACGTAATAAATGGTATACATCTTGATTAAAGATATGGTTATGGCAGTAAAGAGACAGGTATATAAAGAAAGCACATTGAATATGTAACAAAGAAGGGCACATAGGAGCAAAATAAACTTAGGAACAAAAGATTAACCAAAGATTTCTTTGTTGCAAGCAAGAAAAGCATAACATCACAGAACAGAGAGGAAGGTAGGCAAGGGTAAGATTCCAAGGTATGAAAAACAATCCAATTTTTATTTCCTCCATCATCATGTTTGTATGAAATGTAAACTGCCTAAACATAGAGTGTATTAAAGGAGTAACCAAAGAAGCTCCCCAAGTGATAAACAGTGGCTTTAGAAAGAGAAAATGCAGTTGCATTAAAGTGCTTAAAGAGTATTTGAAAAATAGAAGCCACATGACTTTCTGTTATTATACAATATTATGTTTAAGTTTCAGTATATCTTTTTTTTAATAAGGTGCTTATGCCTAAGTGCCTATTACAGGGCGATTTACTAAGAAGACTTAATTATTTTAAGATGCTCATGATTATAATTATCACTGAATGAAAAGTAACAACTAAAGTATAATTTTTCAAAATTGTTGAGAGTATAAAACAATTCTGCCTTGAATTCTGCAATGCAACAACAAAGACAACATGGGTGATTTAAGGATATGTGAGCATCAAAGGGCAGAAATAGGGCATTCCCACTCTCTTTAACTCTGCTAAGGCCTCAAATACTGATATAGTTCAGAGCATCTTATTACCAGAGAAACATAAATCAAAAGGAGTTCAGCTAGGAGCAATAAAACAGATTAGTGTCTGCAAGGACTGACTTTAAAGAAAGTTTTAAAAGAATTAAATCCAGGTAGTCTAGATAAAAAACATCCATGAGAAAACCTTTTTTTTAAGCTGACACACCAAGGACAGAAATTATTTTGAAGGTAGATGTCTAAAAAACTAAAAAACACCGAGAGAATACTTATAAATATTTAGGGGATATTTATAAAGGGAAAATTCAGGATAAATTTGCTGGCAAAAACCTATAGGACAGGAGAACTCTCCTACATAAGTGGCGAAAACTACATTCCTAGAGATATTTAATGCCAGGTTGGACACAACAAGAAAAGGATTCCATATGGAATGATCCTGTACTGGCTGGCCCCTGAAGTGGTAAGAGGATTGAAGATGATCTCTTAGATCTTTTCCAATTTTTTTTTTTTTAATTCTATGAAGTTTTATGGGGCACAATCTCTTGCCAATTTCCTTTCTCCCCATGATGCCCACTTTCTCCTTTTACAAAGTAAAACAAATTGTATCCTTCATTTGAAGATGATCTCATGTTCTCAGTGAATCAGTAATATAATCCTAGATACAAGTTTGGGAGAAAAAGGCCAATTCCTATAACTTATAATGGTTGTTTTTCCCCCCAGTGGTTCCTGGGGCTCTTACAAGTTTTCCTACAAACTAAAGAGGAAGTATTTCAAATGGATTCAAAGAAGAGCTGTTTCATCAGGAAAACATTAATATTTTCCCTTCTTGCCTCTGATCGCAGAGCTGACAGTGACCCTGGAAGCTATAAGGCCCTGGGTCAAATTACCAACAGAGCTGCTGTTCAGGATTATCTTTTACCTTTCAGCATTTTATGCTAAGTGACAGCAAAATCTACTTGCAATCTACTTTTTATGTCAATGACATTTACCTTTGAAAAGATATAGCCTTAAATACCTACATACTTTGGCAAATGTTATAAAAGAAGTCCTAGTCACACTTCAAACTCAAGCCTCAACTTTGCTCTCTTTCTCCGTTCTGCCATTTAAAAAAAAGTTTCTCAGCCACCCTTGAAATAAATCCCAATACCTCTCCAGAATTCCCATTCAGTGAAAGCCCCAGAAAACACAACAGCATTTCCTCGTTTTGCTGATTTACAAGGACAAAATGTAACAAAATCCAGGGAGCTCTGAGAAACTGTCCCTGAACCCTTTAAAAATAAAACTGTAGTTCACTTATGAGAAGGAACAGCAGGACAGAGATAGCCCTCCAAGAATGGACACTAACGCCTCTTCTAATCTAAACAGCCTCAGTGGCTGAAGACCCACCAATTCCCATCTTGCATGTATGAAAGAATGCCCCTTTACCCATACAGAAAGTTCGTAGATATTAACACCAAACCCTCTAAACAATTTTTTAAATACCATTTTCATTTTTTCCCTAGTAAAAATGAGGCTGTTAAACCTAAAAAGATTGGCCTCTCAGACTAGAATAGGATTTGGAGTTTTCAAAGCCTGATGCTTAACTCATCTGATCCTGGCATTTTGGAAAGACAGCTGGCATTTATAATCCCATTTTTAAATGGAAAAAAAAAAAATTAGATTCTGAGATTAGGCAGTCTGAAGAAAAACCCACTGGGGAGATTTTCAAACCTTCCCTAACAAGGGACTAATCTAAAAAGGATTATTTCAGAAAACTTCAGAGTAAATTTCAAAAAAAGGCCAGATCCTCATCCCAGGAAAGCAAAAAATAAGAAAAACGATAGGCACTTTTTTTCTAGAACTTCAGCAATGAAATGTGAGCCTGACCCTTTAGTATCTTATGAACCTGCTTGTATTTTCTCAAGAAACCCACTCTTCTCCGCACTGGACTAGTCTGCCAGTTTTGGACAGTTCATGCCCTTAGGACTGAGCAGCCCAGCGGAGGGCTAGCAGGCGGGATCTGGGCGACCTGGGAGCCCCCTTTGCATGATCACGTCAGGAATCCCACACTACCGTGTGCCCTCGCTAGCAGCTACCAGCTTTTTAGGGGAGCTTCTACCAGGCTCTCCTCCAAATCTACCCCCACCAAACACGCACACACACAACTCACTCCCACTTTCCAAACTTCCTCCACCCCTCAAGAAGGGGAAGCAAGTTTCTCACCATCCTCATAGTTTTTGAGATAGTAATCAGGTCCGGGGCCCCCGCGGCTTTTCGCCGGGTTCCTCAGGTTCTGGAACTGCAGGAAGTCAGTCCTTTTGCCCCCGAAGCGCAGGAAGGCGGGCGAAAGTCCCCGGGCCAGGGTCACCAGACGCTTGGAGCTGCAGGGATAAAGAGAGAGGAAAGGATCCCGAGAAAAGGCGGGAGACCGGGGGACACTAAGCCAAGGCCCTCTTCTCACTCTCTGCAGGCGAACTGCCCGAGGCTCTGGGGCTCGGTGTCCGCCCCAGCTCTCCGACTGTGCGGGCCCCCGGCCGCTCCCCGGCCTCTCGGGTGCGCCTGTTGCCCCTGCCCTCCCTCGCCAGGCTCCAGGGGCTACGCCTCCTGGGCCCAGCCGGCGGCGGCCCCCTCCCTCCGACACTCCGACGCTGGTCTCCAAAGGTACTTATTTCCAAAGGTTAGATTGTGTTAGTTAACA